CCAAACCTATGTGTTGATTGCTTGTGAGTGCGTGCGTGATTACGTCGTTGTACGCACAGACGGGGCGTGGGAGTGTCTGCAAGTATGTTTGTGCACATGAATGTGTGTGTGTGTGTGTGTGTGTGTGTGTGTGTGTGTGTGTGTGTGTGTGTGTGTGTGTGTGTGTGCGTATGCAGAGGTATGCCCGCAGACCTGGGTGTGTACCCGTGGGCTTGGGTTTTTAATTTTTAAATTCCCGTTTGAAAAAATATCCCACACACTACATTTGCAGCGTGCACTTTCAACACCAGCACTTTTGCTCGTGTGCAAAGTATAATCGTGAACACAAGGACCCCGGCCAAGTTCAAAAATCAGTTGCAAGCGTGTGTCCAAGTTTATCGTATGCGAGTAAAATCAATATCCTTGGAAATGTACGATAAATTTGAGTTTGGACGTCGTGTGAATGGCCTACTTGATCCGCCAAGTTAAAATTGGCACTTATCTTCACTCTTGTCGCAAAACAAAAATACAAATATTTGAAGCATGCCACGATCAGAAAACGCTATGTACATGATACTTTACATGTCAGAAAGCAACTCAGCCGAAAATCCTAGCAAGTTACACGTCCTCCTCGCCACTATCGTCGCTGGAGGATGAGCTCAAAACATTCAATCCAGACATATGCTGAACGTTTCATAGCTTGTTCCACTTCACGCTCAAAGCCAGTCACCTGTCGTGCCTGTCTACTTGCCGCTCAGAAGCTAAGTGAGAGTACCCGTGTGGTGGCCGTATGTGTTATCCCCGTTCGTCTCAATAATGCCTTTGTTTGACACAAAAAGGCAACAGCACATCACTGTCAGTTTTTCATATCGCCTCTTGCACTTGTCGTACTTACTGATCAGCACCCACGCAAGCTGCTGGTGCTTGTAGTGCAGTGATAGCTTCTGCTTAATGTAGCACCTGTGCCTACTGCACCTAACGTCTTGCACCAGTGTCGCACTGACTCTAGAGCAGGCGTAGCTCTTTTCTGTGAGATCCCTGCAAGTCGTTTGCACGAGAGTTTCCTTCAGGAGTTGGTGTTTATTTTGATCAGCTCCTTTTCCAGGTCGTCTGTGAGCTTCAGAGTGTGTCCGCCGGATTGGTCTCGTATTCTGGAGATGTCGATATGATCTGTAGTTTCTTCGTCGGTGATTTGCTGGTGATAACTCTTCACTAGACGCTGTACAGTGCGAGTACTCAAATTCAAGCTAGCGATGCGCTTTTTCAGCTTTTCTATACCTCCCCGCGGAAAACCATCCTTGCTACCAGACAGCTGGAAGCAGGCAGAAACTATATTCGCCATCGCTTTGAAGTGTGAACATCCTGACCTGTTTTACGGACTGGAGCGGAGATTGCAGCCTTTTATTGCGGTGACGGAAGTGTTCGTCGGTGGCAGCTCCAGTCAAAAAATTCAAACGAACCGATCACAACTTCTGTGGTGGTTTGTGCTGCCATGTTGTCGGATGCAATGGTCTGTGGTTATGTTCGGATGGTGAATCGGTGGTTCCATGCGGTGTGACACAGGCAGAACACCGAAAAATTTAGTGCGAAGATAAGCGCCAATTGTGATTTGCGGACCAAGTATTAGCAAACATCACTTGTCTAGTGAGAAAGTGCCTTGCCTTCGTACACTGTATATTCACCATCATACTTTATTCCAACAGGAGTGCATAAAACATTTGGAAATTTGAGAAAAGTCACAAAAAGAGGCGCAGTTTACTGTGCATTCTCCGTATCCTTGTTGAAATCGCACGCACTGGAATAATAAAATAAAAACACTCGTTGTGGTCATGACGAGTAGACCCCTCCGAACTCATCAAACACCAGTGTGCTTCGTGTGGTCAGGATGGGATTCTAACACAGTTTCCTCATTCGTCTTGCAGTTTCACGGCTTGCAAATGGTCCCAATTATCAAATGCACTTGGCATCTGGTTGATCAAATGCAGTGGTACCCTACAAAGCCGGCCGGCACCAAATTTAGCGCTTGGTGCACAGAATAGGATATAGTTTAGGTCAATGGCTGCATTCATCCCCCCCCCCCATATATCCACAACCATGATGCAGTGGCGTGTCCAGGATTTGGCTGAGGAGGATCGCGGTCGGGGGAGATGACATGGTGCACATGACTGTAATGATCTATGTCACGCACCTAGCTATCCAAAATTACAAAATGATTACATGCCAGGTATTTCTTCCAGACCTACACTATACAGATTAAAGTATCTCATGCTCAGTTACTACAGTGCGTATCGGTTATAGCGTGGTCGTGTAAAAGAATATACTGCTTACAAGAATGAACTCTCATATTTTCATAATCAAAACATGGGTTTCAAGTGAACATATATTCTTACTTAAAATTGCCGCTTCCCAGAACAATTTTTCGAATTTATTTTGTCTACTCGAAGGGCAAAGAAATCAGCTAGAAATTGAGGCAGAGCATTGTCGACGGATCAAGCTTTAGTTTGTGGCCTCCCGATTTGCTGCACTTGCAGCTAAGGTCGACGTCTTCATCAGAGTTTGGGGCAGGCCCTTCAGCACTCAACAATGTGCTGAACAAGACGCGCGTTCAAATTCAGGTAAAGAAACTTCGTTTTCAAGCGATCCATGCCTCCAGGTGGCAGGCGATGAAGGCAAGCTAGCATTTTTCAAGTGCACTACAACGACCATCCAGCGGGATAGGGTAAGTAGTTCCGCAACTTCTTTCCCTGGCAATGGCTTCACTAATTTTGTTGGTGTTTTCAGACCTGCTACCTTTGTAGCAACATGCGCCACAAGTAGCGCATTTTAGGAATTTGAGAAAACTCTTTGTTCTTGCCATCGTCAACTTCAGCATTTCGTATCCAGGAGAGATACCAGGATTCTTATACCCGAGCTTGCAGTCTTGATTAAGAGCCACGCGAACGATATGGGACGGCACGAACTGCAGAAAAACGATATGCGCTCTGGGGCGGAAGAGTGCGGAGCGCGATGAATTTGCTTGGTGCGGAAGAGAGCTCCAACGAAGTCCGAGACCACCACGGCTTCAGTAACAAGTAGACATTGCGCAGGAAGGGTGGCACCAATGCTCGAACACAGAAAACAGCGATTCCGATAGTCTGACTAGTATGTATGATGACCATCCTGTACTGGCACCTCCGCGTCGGGCGGAATGTCAGCCCGCTCCGAACTGGACTGGCAACCACTTGATCACTCCCACTGTTTCCTGTTGGAACAGGAATTGCGCAGTCGCAAGAACGCTTTGCAAAATCCATCAAGGCTCTGTTGGCCAGAGCTTGTCTTCTTTGGTCCATGGATGTCGCTGAGACTTCGCAGAAAAGTCTTCAAGTCAACCAATTCGCGATTCGAATCTGGAGGGGATCATCCTCAAAACATCGTTGTACAACGTTGCGAAAAGAGGCGCTTGACGATCACAAGCTTTGTTTTTGTCCCACTTGGGCAGCGCTGCGTTCAGCACATCACTGCACGCCTTTCTCAAGACGCATCGAGCGCGTCCTGGAATCTGTACAAAAGTATAGAGCTCGTACAGAGTCGATCATTTCTTTCACAGTGCAATCAATGCCGCTCACACACCGACGGTCCGTGCAACCAGTTTTGGACGCTGCTTCCCACCGCCTAGAGTCTACCGCCTGTGCACATGGTGCATGTAGCAGCCTGGTGTTTTTTCAAACCCAGGTCGAAATTTGTTGAGGGTGGGTGGGAGTGTGCCCCCCCCCCCCCCCCCGTAAACCCGCCAATGCCATGTGATAGGGACCATTAGCAAGTCGTGAAACTGCAACGCGAAGGGGAGCTGGGTTAGAGTCCCGTCCTGAGCACGCAAAACATACTTGTGTTTGACAAGTTCGGAGGGGTCTACTCGTCATGACCGCAACAAGTGGGTTTTAGTCAAGTACGTGCGAATTCAACCATGATACGGAGAATAGCACCGTAAATCGCGCCTCTTTTGGTCTTTGCGATTTTCTTCAAATTTCGAAAATGTCTCACCCATTCTTGTTGGAATAAATACGATGGCGAAACGTACCAAACAACCAGTAGGACCATTGATTTTGCCATAACCGTTACTAACATGACACAGAACAGGATCGAGGGTAACCACAGTGCCAACATTTATGCTTGTTCAAGACAAACTTCAGCTTGCTCGCTCATTTATGTTTTGGCATGGACCTCGTGAACACAACCCTTTGCTGCACCCATCCATCGGCGATGTGGCTGTCATGGGGTTTCTTTCACTTTCATTCGGGTAAAAGTCAGTCAGGCTGAGAATTGTTCTCAAGGAAAAGTTCGCAAAAAATAATAGCCAGTAAAAATATCAGAAAACTGTTTGAAACTGGAAAGCAGCCGACTCGCGTAGACAGGTTGTGAACGCGAGAAGCTAATCCTCAATCACGCCGTGTTTCACGTGCGTTACGATGAACTCGTTACCCCCATTGACGTTTCACGGCTTGCTAATGGTCCCTAATAGTTCACCCAGCCCCCCCCCCCCCCCCCCCGTTCAATCTCAGGCTGGCTATGACCATGGAGGCAATATCGTTATTTCGTACTCGGGCCCCTCCCCCCCCCCCCCCTCCCCCCACTCTGAAACGAACGCAGCTTGCTATGCTGGACGACGATAATCGCATGCATGTACAAGTACAATGTACAGTGTCGGTCGAGTTGTGATTTTGGCTCGAACCCCTACCCCCCCCCCCCAACCTTTTTGGTGAAAGGCTGAGCGCGCGTTTGGGCGCGCATGAACCGCAAGGGTACCGCGTCCACGCGCCAGTTGTGAACACAGCTTTACACTCTCTCGTGTTTATGTACTCTTGATCTCATGGACAGCTGTACAAATGTAGGACATGGTGGTGGGAGGTGCACCTCACGTGACTCACGTGACACCTAGTCACTGCATAGTTCAACCAATCAAATGTACGACACGCTGTAATGTTTACTGTAGACACACAGTACATCTAAATTCAGTCACTCACAGTCAAGTCTACTGTACATACCTTCGCACTCTCGTGATCCACCAGCAACTGCACACATCCCTCATTTTTGTATTGCCTGGCTAGGTCCAACGCTGTTTTCCCATCCTGAGTAACTCAGCAACACATCACAGGAACAACATAAAATCAATTTTTGAGAAAATTCGTTCCAATTTTACAAAAACGAAAACATAACGAAGGCCAAGGACATAATCTACAACGAGACGAAATCAATCTCTCCACAAGACGACTTACATGTACAGAACAAGTCTCTCCTTCCTCAGCAACATGCTACTCCATGCATCCACAGTAAAAACTCCAGTTCATGCCTCGACAAATTTGAATTTGTTTTACAGATTTCTACTCGAACGAAAATATCCACGACGAGAGGAAGGCGTCCACAGCCCCTGCTCCACGTCAGGAACAACAGCATGTCTCCTGCGTACTCGTTAGAATAACAACAACCCTTCACTCCTCACTCGTTCCAACAAACACCATCAAACAGTCTACTCCTTCAGACACTGATTTCGAAATTCTTCAAAAATTGAACCACAGAGACCACGTGGCGATACTGTACGCATGATGTCATCGAGTACGGTACTGTACAACTGGTACACATTTCTGACAAGAGGAGAGGAGAGGAGAGTTGTGGTAGTCATGAGCGAGAGAGAGAGAGCAAGGGGCAGAGAGAGAGAGAGAGAGAGGGGCAGAGAGAGAGAGAGAGAGGCAGGACAGGTGAGAAGGACGAGTAGAAACTGTTCACTTCACAACAACACACAATCAAATACTTACCTTGTCACGCAGTGTGGTATCCAAGGTGACACCGTTACTGTCATGTGACAGCATCACCTTGACAACGTTGATCCTCTTGCAGCAGACTGCATAGTGAAGTGGAGTCAATCGCCACTGTAGAGAAAGAGAGAATGTGATGAGTATTGCTATACAACCATTACACTAACTACTACAACCACACACCGACACAGACCTGGACAACTAGAACAAACGCATCAACACACACATACACATACACACTACTACTACTACTACTATTGACAGCTGCCAGAAATGGCCACGCCGCTCCCCAAAGGGAGGTACTGTCAGAGAGGTTAGGGGAGAGGTAGGCAGTGCTTCAAATGGCGCTCCAGGTCCTGTCGCCTCCGAAACTGGCGTTGACTACAGACTTGGCAATGATGTTCAAAGTGCTGGCGATCAGTCACTGTAGGGCGCTTCGGGCGGGGTCCACAGCGATGGCGCTTGAGGCCAGCAGTAGACTTGAAAGCACGCTGGCAGGCAGTACACACCGGGACCTCGGCAACAGGAGGAGCATCAAAAGGCGGTCGGTCGTCACAGTTGTCACTCCCTAGGCACTTATGCACTGCAAGCCCACCCCTGCTCCGGAGCCATCTACTGCAGGCAGGACACTGCACCGACCCAGGCTGCTGTGATACGGGGAGCTGTCGGACTGCTGTGCACTTGTGCCGGGCCATGTCGGCGCGCCGACGAAACAGGCGGCCGCAAACGTGGCACATAATCGTCTTCGGGGCAGGCTCCTTCACCCCCGCTGCTGCCGACACTATGTCACGCCACTCTCCGCGATCGTTGGCTGATTGGAACCAACGATCGCGGCATACACACACACACACACACACACACACGTGCGCTCGCACACACGCACATACGCACGAGCGCACATGCACATACACACGCACATGCACACACACTTGCACATACATGTACACGCATGCAGATGTACATACACACGTGAACATACAAACAGAAGCACACACATGCAGAAGCAATGAACAGATTGTCTTAGAGACACACAGATAGACATGTAGGAACATACAAACTGAGAATTCAGTTGAGACAACCAGACTCTAAACTATCACTAGTTCTTACCGAGCTGCTCTGCGCATTGACATCAGCTCCACGTCCGATGAGAATATTTGCTAGTCGATCATTTCCACACTCTGCACAGTAGTGCAGTAGTGTCATGTTGAACTGTACACACACACACACACACACACACACACACACACACGCACACATGCACGCACACGCACACACAACACACACACATTCCCGCACACACACACACACACACACACACACACACACACACACACACACACAAATACACACACAGGCACATGCGCGCACGCACGTACACACACACACGCACATACGCACACACACACAGGCACAAGCGCGCACGCACGCACACACACACATACATATACACACACACAAACATGCACACACACACACATGCACGCACACAAACACAGGCACATGCGCGCATGCACACACACACACACACATACACACTCGCACACACATGCACTCACTCACACACACGCATGCGCACGCACACACACACACGTGACAAACACACACACATGACAGACACACAGTAAGTTGTACATCCCAATTACGCGAAGTCTTGGGGCATGTGGACAGACGGATGCATTTTTACAGTGCAGGGATACAGAAACACAGGAGCGAAGCGTCAGACAGACAGACAGACAAAGAGACAGGCAGACAGACAGACAGACAGACAGACAACAGACACACACACACACAGACAGACATACAGAACAACCATGACAAACCTGAACAGTACTGAGTCTTGTAACAATCAAGAACACAACAACTTACGTAAGCTTCGTCTTGCTTATCCATCTCTACACTATGTACACTAAATATGTAGTGTACAATAGTGTAGAGGATTTCATCACGAAGATGCTGACCCTCCAAGCAGATCACAAAAAGGAGCATTGTCTGTGTGATATACAAAACAGAAAAAAACGATTTGACAATTACAAAAACGACAGCAACAATACTCTCAGTACAATGCCATCAGAGTTAGGAAACCTACTGATTGACCTCAGGGGTCAGCGATCCAAACCAGACAAATTGCCATAACTTTATTCCAGCTTGAGAGAAGCTTGCAGCAATTGCACATCTTGTAAAGGTATGTCACATCAACGATTCCCACTGGTCAACAATCACTTGACAATGGTACAGACAAGAAGACCAGGTGTCACAGAAAACTCCCCCCCCCCCCCCCCCCTACACACACACACTGTACAGCAACACTCTACTTACTCCCATTGAGTAGCAGTGTGTCCATGAGCGTGGGTATGATGATGGTGATTTCCATGTCACTTTACGTGATGTGGAGGACAATTGCGGCTGCTCAGGAGGCACAGCAGCCTGAAGACTTTCCAGTGTGGCACCCCGTCGCCGTACCTCCTGAGAAAAGCCTTCTACTTCTTGACTGGACATGTCTGTACAGGAACAATGCGTACGCAACACAGACAGACAGACAGACAGACACAGATGGACAGACAGACAGACAGACAGACAGACAGACAGACAGACAGACAGACAGACAGACAGACAGACAGACAGACAGACAGACAGACAGACAGACAGACAGACAGACAGACAGACAGACAGACAGACAGACAGACAGACTGCCACACACATGCACACACACGACACAGATAGACAGACACAGATGGACACACAGACACACAGACGCAGATGGACAGACAGATACAAACTGACAGACTGCCACACACATGCACACACACGACACAGATAATCACACATGCACACACAAACACACACACAGACGCAGATGGACAGACAGATACAAACAGACGGACAGACACACATACAGATGGACAGACAAGGGGACAGAAAATAAGAGGTAAGAGAGACAACAAGTACTCCCATACTATGACATACACAATGATCCAAACAAGATTGATCTCACATGTCAATACTTGTATCTACACTGATGCGTACGCACACACACATACACACTCATCATGACGTCATACTCAACACCATATTTAGAGTGGAATAACCTTTGACTCCACGTCCACGGACATGCAGCTACGTCAGTCAATGACTGTGTCAGTAGCTGAAAAAGGTGAAGACGATCAATGAACGACATCGCGGGGACATCTTCACAACACACTGCAACACAATGCAATTAATTATTTACCTGTCTCAGCAAAACCACAGAAACCACCGACAAATGTTACACCTCATTACTACAACTGCCTACGACAACTATCAACGAAAGAATACTGCTCTCCACCTCAAACAACTCCAACTCTCGTACCGTTGACAACCAAGAAGAATACGACAGTTTGAAGAAAGGTCTCCACACAAAATGAATGGAACAACTTCAACTTCAACTTGACAAGCACGAACAGTTACAACAGCAGACACTTGATATTTGAACAATCTTCATGTCGATCGCAACTAGAATTATCTATAAATCCTTTTACTCGTCAAGTCTACCTTCGTTACAAAGAACTGAAATGTACTTCGTCTACAAAACGTCAATCAGTAGGTCCCTGAATGGCCGTCCCGTTGCGACACGGGACAAGGGCAAAGGTGGGGACCAACGAGACGACAGTACTAACGAAAATATGGGGAAAAAAAACGAAGAGAAAGAGATGGAGTGCCACCATTTGTAACTTACATTCCTTGTTGGAGAAACGTTGATGACAGTGAAAACGATCTACATTTCTCTTCTTTCTCACTAAGTGTAGGAAACATGATGAACTTCTCTGGTCTATTGAGAGTTCTGAAAATGGTCTATTCAGCTTCTAACTTGCCATACGGATAAAGTCACCGTTGAACTTCTCATAGACGAACATGACTACAAGTAGTGAGTCTAAAGGGAAGAGCTGAATTGAAGAAAGTCATCCTTGCCGTTTTGTTGAACTTTGTCTTCAAGTAGCAGTGAAGAGAAAAGAAGAAACTAATGAATTACTTGACGTGGAAGTCCGGAGGGCCTAGGGACTACGCCTGCAAGAAGGTATTCAGCTGCTTGACGGAATGGTGCAGCAAAGGAGTAACTCACTGTTTGAACTTTGGACTTTGATCTACAGGTCATGAACCGCTACTGAACGATCCTTGGCACAGTTGCTAACTAGACCGATAACTTATAAGATGTAGCACTCAGTGCGAGAACAGGGTCAGGGAGTGAATCGAATGATACAGTCGCTAACGTGAGCAAATACACCAACCAGGTCAGTCAGTGCAGTAGATCTACATGGCGGATTTCTACCGAGCAAGTGCGTGCACACCCGCTAGCTCTCAACCGTGTCACTCAGCCTGATGACCTAGCTCTGGAGTAGGCATAGACTATGCCTACTCCAGAGCTAGGTCATCAGGCTGAGTGACACGGTTGAGAGCTAGCGGGTGTGCACGCACTTGCTCACAGTGTGCTATATCAGTGATACTAATGCTGTAGGGGGATTTCAAATAGACCTATAGCACATGATTGTATTTTTACTTACTGAGTGAGTTGTCCGTTCCTTTTAAGATCTTCTTCAAACGTTGGCTGAGTGGGCTGACTGGAATAGGTAGGTCGTTGAGAGAAGGAGAGCGTTATGCTGAACTTGGTATTCACTGAGAGAGTATTATGCTGAACTTGTTACTCACTGGGAGAGCGTTATGCTTTTAAACGTGTTACTCACTGAGAGAGCGTTGCAGCCACTACAGACTGATTAGTAGTTGAGAGAAAGAGTAACAATGACTGAAAAGGATAATGCACGACTAACAAAGGCAGGTCAGAGGGACTGTTCAACAACACTAGAAGACGTTTGAAACAAAAGAGAAAGGAAGGCAGACGAAAACGGACAACTGGACTGTGTCGTGAGAAATGGAAGACTGAGCTGTGCTGACCATATAGCGATGTGATCTAATGTTTGAACGAATCGTGCCTTACATGCATGTGGTAAATGGCAGGAGGTGCTCACTGTCTGGCAGACCACGGACGACGATCTACTCATACATTCTAATACTGGTTTTGCTTTGTGGCTGTGTGCCTTAGCGCGAACTCAGGCACTTCTGCCGTTCTGGTGTTTGCGTGTGTCATCGTGTTGTCACGTGATACGCTACACGTCTGCACCATGTCGTCGTCCCCGCTCTGTCAGACCGAGATCCTAAAAAATGTGTTGTTGACATTGGTGACAAGAATCACAGCCATACATGTAGACTGCACACATAATGGGGGACCTACCCCACTACCACACATCAACACTACCTGTAACCAATCACGATTCAATGCTATGCTCTTCTCATCAAATATGGACAAAGAGCTGATGACATCATGTCTTAGGGTACAGTCCCATACAGACCAGGGTGGTGTTGGTGGTGTCATTCTGATTGTCCTAAAATTCTATTTTATAACTCGACTTGTTGCCAAACGCGTGTCACCATAATGACATGGCGGCTCTGAGCAGCTAGCTTGACAATGTCGACACATGCAGTAGCTGCTTGGGTGTGGTCTGGTATGCAATAGACGGTGCATTTGGGTGGTCGTGGATGAACAGGGACCGTCATGTGTAGACGTTAATGATGTGTTGGAGTGCTGTTGTTGTTCAAATCTTTATTCTCACGATAGCCAGTGGCCAATAAGAGGTTGTTGTTGTTGTTGTTGTTGTTGTTGCTGTTGTTGTTGTTGTTGCTGCTGCTACTGCTGCTGCTGTCTTTCAAGTCTTCAGGCATGTGCATGTGCGTGCCCCCGGGCATGTTTGACCAGTTACTGTCAGTTCCTCAGTGAGCATGCAATTCTGGAGCCTGGGCCATTTTTGCCTTGTGATATTCTTCTGTCCATTCCTGTCATTATAATCATTTCCTTTCCTCCTTCCATACCTCTATAAGTACATGTAGTAGTCACCTGTATTGTTTCATGCACAAAGTGTGATAGCGAAAGTGAAGAACAATTCGAGGCAACTAGCCATTGTAAGTATGAAAAACAGGTTATACTGCACCGCGCCAGCCGGCTGAACTCATAAATGTGCAGGCAAATCTGTAGCTCTCAGGCTATCACTATCAGTCTATGTGGTATCATACATGTATCTGCTAGTCCGACCTATATGTAATAATAATAATAATATCTGTATTAGGTTGACCCAGAGGCTTGTACATACATGTACCACACGGTACATGTATTCTTCTCCAGACACGGACACAGCTACAGTATGCCTCGCCGGACAAGAGGAACAATTTATAATGGGGAGACGCTAGCAGGGGGTGTGTGCGAGGATAACAGGAGTCGGTATTTTACGACTCCTTGGAGGATAGGTTATCAGTGCTTCTACACTTCCACATCATCAATAGCACACTGGACAGAATTGCCGATGATGAACGCTGCAGTTGGTAAAAACTGGCACAGGGAATGGCCGTACCTGCTGTACCAGTGGCGACGACCCACCCCCGGCCCTGACCCCGGCTGGGCACTAACAACGTATATTCGCCCGACAAGAAAATGCAACAAACGATTGGTCATCGGATAAAGTCACCGTTGAACTTCTCATAGACGAACATGACTACAAGTAGTGAGTCTAAAGGGAAGAGCTGAATTGAAGAAAGTCATCCTTGCCGTTTGTTAAAGGGGAAGTTAAGGCAAAAATTAAAATTTCACCAGTTGTAGTCTTCGGGGTGCTGAGTCGAATGGTCTTGGTCCGGGGAAGCTGAGACGCTCCCTTCCTACTTGAATCCCAATCGAACTCGCGCACTTCCACCGAAACTGGGTGACTGCGCCCTACGAGATGGGGATTTGTATGCAAAATGTCACTAAAAGCGCCATTTCGTTCTTATAAAAGCACGGATGACCGCGATTGGCCCATATGTTGTAGTCTTTTGGACGCTGAGTCGACTGGTTTTGGTCCGAAAAGGCTGCGATGTAGCGTTCCTCCTTTATTCCCAATCGAACATGGTTGAACAAGTGGTCACGTGCTCCTGCGTACACCAGTCACATGGTCACCGTGCCTGCAGGGTTCAACTTACTAGCCTGTTTGACCTTTTTTGGATGCACTCCTGTCACTCGAGTTGAACCTTGGTGTGAAATTTGTCGCCTGCTGGCGTGGTGACCAGGTGATTTGGGCACCCAGGAGCACGTGACCGCTTGTTCAGCCATGTTCGATTGGGAATAAAGGAGGAACGCTGCATCGCAGCCTTTTCGGACCAAAACCAGTCGACTCAGCGTCCAAAAGACTACAACATATGGGCCAATCGCGGTCATCCGTGCTTTTATAAGAACGAAATGGCGCTTTTAGTGACATTTTGCATACAAATCCCCATCTCGTAGGGCGCAGTCACCCAGTTTCGGTGGAAGTGCGCGAGTTCGATTGGGATTCAAGTAGGAAGGGAGCGTCTCAGCTTCCTCGGACCAAGACCATTCGACTCAGCACCCCGAAGACTACAACTGGTGAAATTTTTATTTTTGCCTTAACTTCCCCTTTAAACTTTGCCTTCAAGTAGCAGTGAAGAGAAAAGAAGAAACTTGACGTGGAAGTCCGGAGGGCCTACACCTGCAAGAAGGTACTCAGCTGCTTGACGGAATGGTGTAGCGAAGGAGTAACTCACTGTTTGAACTTTGGACTTTGATCTACAGGTCATGAACCGCTACTGAACGATCCACAGGTGCTAACTAGACCGATAAGATGTAGCACTCAGTGCGAGAACAGGGTCAGGGAGTGAAACGAATGATACAGTCGCTAACGTGAGCAAATACACCCATTATGTCAACCAGGTCAGTCAGTGCAGTAGATCTACCTGGCGGATTTCTACCAAGCAAGTGCACACTCGCTAGCTCTCAACCGTGTCACTCAGCCTGATGACCTACATGTAGCTCTGGAGTAGGCATAGTCACAGTGTGCAATATCAGTGATACTAATGCTGTAGGGGGATTTCAAATAGACCTATAGCACATGATTGTATTTTTACTTACTGAGTGAGTTGTCCGTTCCTTTTAAGATCTTCTTCAAACGTTGGCTGAGTGGGCTGACTGGAATAGGTAGGTCGTTGAGAGAAAGAGAGCGTTATGCTGAACTTGGTATTCACTGAGAGAGCGTTATGCTGAACTTGTTACTCACTGGGAGAGCGTTATGCTTTTAAACGTGGAGTACTCACTGAGAGAGCGTTGCAGCCACTACAGACTGATTAGTAGTTGAGAGAAAGAGTAACAATGACTGAAAAGGATAATGCACGACTAACAAAGGCAGGTCAGAGGGACTGTTCAACAACACTAGAAGACGTTTGAAACAAAAGAGAAAGGAAGGGAGACGAAAACGGACAACTGGACTGTGTCGTGAGAAATGGAAGACTGAGCTGTGCTGACCAAATTAATAGCGATGTGATCTAATGTTTGAACGAATCGTGCCTTACATGCATGTGGTAAATGGCAGGAGATGCTCACTGTCTGGCAGATCACGGACGACGATCTACTCATACAATCATTACAGTTTTACTAATACTGGTTTTGCTTTGTGGCTGTGTGCCTTAGCGCGAACTCAGGCACTTCTGTTCTGGTGTTTGCGTGTGTGCGTGTGTCATTGTGTTGTCACGTGATACGCTACACGTCTGCACCATGTCGTCGTCCCCGCTCTGTCAGACCGAGATCATAAAATGTGTTGTTGACATTGGTGGCAAGAATCATAGCCATACATGTAGACTACACACATAATTGGGGACCTACCCCACTACCACACATCAACACTACCTGGAACCAATCACGTGCACGATTCAATGCTACGCTCTTCTCATCAAATATGGACAAAGAGCTGATGATATCATGTCCTAGGGCACAGTGCCACAGTCCCATACAGACCAGGGTGGTGTTGGTGTTGTCATTCTGATTGTCCTAAAATTCTATTTTATAACTCGACTTGTTGCCAAACGCGTGTCACCATAATGACATGGCGGCTCTGAGCAGCTAGCTTGACAATGTCGACACATGCAGTAGCTGCTTGGGTGTGGTCTGGTATGCAATAGACGGTACATTTGGGTGGTCGTGGATGAACAGGGACCGTCTATGTGTAGACGTTAATGATGTGTTGGAGTGCTGTTGCTGTTGTTGTTGTTGTTGTTGTTGTTGTTGTTGTTGTTGTTGTTGTTGTTGTTGTTGTTGTTGTTGTTGTTGTTGTTGTTGTTGTTGTTGTTGTTGTTGTTGTTGTTGTTGTTGTTGTTGTTGTTGTTGTTGTTGTTGTTGTTGTTGTTGTTGTTGTTGTTGTTGTTGTTGTTGTTTGTTGTTATTGTTGTTGTTGTTGTTGTTGTTGTTGTTGTTGTTGTTGTTGTTGTTGTTGTTGTTGTTGTTGTTGTTGTTGTTGTTGTTGTTGTTGTTGTTGTTGTTGTTGTTGTTGTTGTTGTTGTTGTTGTTGTTGTTGTTGTTGTTGTTGTTGTTGTTGTTGTTGTTGTTGTTGTTGTTGTTGTTGTTGTTGTTGTTGTTGTTGTTGTTGTTGTTGTTGTTGTTGTTGTTGTTGTTGTTGTTGTTGTTGTTGTTGTTGTTGTTGTTGTTGTTGTTGTTGTTGTTGTTGTTGTTGTTGTTGTTGTTGTTGTTGTTGTTGTTGTTGTTGTTGTTGTTGTTGTTGTTGTTGTTGTTGTTGTTGTTGTTGTTGTTGTTGTTGTTGTTGTTGTTGTTGTTGTTGTTGTTGTTGTTGTTGTTGTTGTTGTTGTTGTTGTTGTTGTTGTTGTTGTTGTTGTTGTTGTTGTTGTTGTTGTTGTTGTTGTTGTTGTTGTTGTTGTTGTTGTTGTTGTTGTTGTTGTTGTTGTTGTTGTTGTTGTTGTTGTTGTTGTTGTTGTTGTTGTTGTTGTTGTTGTTGTTGTTGTTGTTGTTGTTGTTGTTGTTGTTGTTGTTGTTGTTGTTGTTGTTGTTGTTGTTGTTGTTGTTGTTGTTGTTGTTGTTGTTGTTGTTGTTGTTGTTGTTGTTGTTGTTGTTGTTGTTGTTGTTGTTGTTGTTGTTGTTGTTGTTGTTGTTGTTGTTGTTGTTGTTGTTGTTGTTGTTGTTGTTGTTGTTGTTGTTGTTGTTGTTGTTGTTGTTGTTGTTGTTGTTGTTGTTGTTGTTGTTGTTGTTGTTGTTGTTGTTGTTGTTGTTGTTGTTGTTGTTGTTGTTGTTGTTGTTGTTGTTGTTGTTGTTGTTGTTGTTGTTGTTGTTGTTGTTGTTGTTGTTGTTGTTGTTGTTGTTGTTGTTGTTGTTGTTGTTGTTGTTGTTGTTGTTGTTGTTGTTGTTGTTGTTGTTGTTGTTGTTGTTGTTGTTGTTGTTGTTGTTGTTGTTGTTGTTGTTGTTGTTGTTGTTGTTGTTGTTGCTGCTGCTGCTGTTGTTGTTGTTGCTACTGCTGCTGGCAGGCACAGTGGGTTGGTCAAAGACCATGATTGAGATACGAGAGGTACCTGGTTCAAGTCCTGCCTGGGAGCGGTTTTTCCAGCCGTGCTGCTACCCACAGTCAACTGGGAACTTGTGGCCAGGCACAAGGCGTACATGGATGCAGCTAATGGGGTCGTTTTCGGCACTTGTGCCAGTGGTTGTGAGACTTACCCACTCACCCCCACCGTTAGGCGCTGCATCTGCCGCTAGGGTTTATCGGGTGTTAGCGGCCGTCGTGAGTTCCCTTCGGGAACGGATACGATAATTTACTTTTTTTTTTACTGCTGCTGCTGCTGTCTTTCAAGTCTTCAGGCATGTGCATGTGCGTGCCCCGGGCATGTTTGACCAGTTACTGTCAGTTCCTCAGTGAGCATGCAATTCTGGAGCCTGGGCCATTTTTGCCTTGTGATATTCTTCTGTCCATTCCTGTCATTATAATCATTTCCTTTCCTCCTTCCATACCTCTATAAGTACATGTAGTAGTCACCTGTATTGTTTCATGCACAAAGTGTGATAGCGAAAGTGAAGAACAATTCGAGGCAACTAGCCATTGTAAGTATGAAAAACAGGTTATACTGCACCGCGCCAGCCGGCTGAACTCATAAATGTGCAGGCAAATCTGTAGCTCTCAGGCTATCACTATCAGTCTATGTGGTATCATACATGTATCTGCTAGTCCGACCTATATGTAATAATAATAATAATATCTTTATTAGGTTGACCCAGAGGCTTGTACATACATGTACCACACGGTACATGTATTCTTCTCCAGACACAGACACAGCTACAGTATGCCTCGCCGGACAAGAGGAACAATTTATAATGGGGAGACGCTAGCAGGGGGTGTGTGCGAGGATAACAGGAGTCGGTATTTTACGACTCCTTGGAGGATAGGTTATCAGTGCTTCTACACTTCCACATCATCAATAGCACACTGAACAGAATTGCCGATGATGAACGCTGCAGTTGGTAAAAACTGGCACAGGGAATGGCCGTACCTGCCGTACCAGTGGCGACGATCCACCCCCGGCTGGGCACTAACAACGTATATTCGCCCGACAAGAAAATGCAACAAACGATCGGTCATCGTGTGTATCTGGCTACCCACCCACCGCAGATGTCCAGTGTATTCTGTCTCGAAACAACCTCACACCCATCACTACCCGTTTCTCCCTTAAACTGTAAAGTAGTTATCTTCTTGTATTCAGATGCGTTCATTCTTCTGCCAGTTCACTTCTGTGCCGCCCTTTCTGCCTTCGTGCCAATTCTGAGGCACGTAGCCGCCGCACGTGCACAAGGTATCAAGTCTCGCTTGGACTTGTACAGTACTACTGCCACGAGCCTCCTCATGATTTGGTTATTCCTCTCTTTCTTATTTAGACGCTGACCGCTGGAACTCAGTTCCGACATCGGTCCCCCTTGCTGCTTCACCAAGCCAATTTCGTATCGCAATCCTAGATAGGCTAGGGTACCCCGAAAGGAGACCATAGGCCTGTGGGGACTGCCCTAGAGAAATATGAAGAAATACCATACTACCATACTATACTATCGTCCAGCCTCTCATGGTCACGTGACTCGAAAGACTAGTAGCAGTGAATGGTACATGTAACGTTGTACAGTGCAGTACACGACAGAAAATGACAAAAAAGTAAAGACCAAACATAACAACATAACAACATGATATCAATCTAGCAGTAGCAGCCTGATCCAGCAGGGCCACACCAAAACAAGAACACGGACAAGTAAGGAAAGGCATAAACTTGTGCACGTCCACTTGAGAAAATCATTTTCCCAATGGCGTGCAAAAAGGACACAATGAATATTAGCATCGTACACGTCATCACCGTCTTGCCTACATATAAACAATGGAGTAAGTAAAGTAAAAAGTAAATTATCGTGTCCGTTCCCGAAGGGAACTCACGACGGCCGCTAACACCCGGTAAACCCTGTAAACCCTAGCGGCAGATGCAGCGCCTAACGGTGGGGGTGAGTGGAGTAAGTACAGAGTGGAGTAAGTACAGAGTGGCGTAAGTACAGAAGTACAAATATGGTGGAAGAACACAAGCTGAGCAGTTGAGAGAAATTAAGCTCTAGTAAAGTCCCGACGTTCAAAAATAAGAAGCACAAAATCAGCAGTTAAAATTACAATCAATTCACATGCTCAGTGCACAATGGCTAATCACATGCTCAGTGCACAATGCCTAATCACACGGAGCAGACTAGTACTCGTACATGTATCAGAGATCCATGAGTGTGCGTGAGTGTGTGTGTGTGTGTGTGTGTGTGTGTGTGTGTGTGTGTGTGTGTGTGTGTGTGTGTGTGTGTATGCTGCATGTGGATGTGTGTGTGGATGTGTGTATGTGTGCGTGTATGTGTGTACGTGTGTGTATGTGTGTGTGTGTGTGTGTGTGTGTGTGTGTGTGTGTGTGTGTGTGTGTGTCAACACTCTCACGTATGTTCGTTGGCTGGCTTGTCATCAATGATCACATTATCCCGACCACGCCTGACGATACACCTCTCCACAGCAGCCATGACGTCACGACGACGACGATCAATGGCTTTCAGATGTGTGCTGTAGAGTATTGGTGATAGCGGGTCAATACTCATTGATGCGTTGAGTGCATGCGACAGTGAGTGTGCACCGCGCTGCTCTTCGAACACCTGTAGCCGTTTCCACGTAGAAGATCTTAGTCTGGATGGCAAACATACGAGCAACACACGGAACAATTCAGAAAATCGAACATTGCACACCCAGTGGATGCGTTAATCAACACCGTAGAAATTATTACCGAAACAATGCATCCGGTCTTCTTTTGAGCAGTACCTGTTCCTGCTCCGCGCACCCCCTGATTTCTGATATCTCGAACGTGTATTTAGAACTATGTCGATCACCTCCGCTATTGGCCACGCTTGTTTTCATGATCCATTGCTTCTTGCCTCCCGGGTAATTTCCATCTAGCTGTTTCTGGCTAGTATCAGTTCTATCACACTTATCAATGGTCCTTATTGGCGTCACGCCATCGTGGAATGAAAGAATAATAATAACAATAATACTGTACAGTGTTGTGCTCGGTGAAATCCAACCCAGAGCAACCCGGAGTAACCCAGAGCAACCCGGAGTAACCCAGAGCAACCCAGAGCAACCCGGAGCAACCCGGAGCAACCCGGAGTAACCCAGAGCAACCCGGAGGAACCCGGAGTAACCCAGAGCAACCCAGAGTAACCCAGAGCAACCCAGAGTAACCCGGAGTAACCCAGAGCAACCCAGAGCAACCCAGAGCAACCCGGAGCAACCCGGAGCAACCCGGAGTAACCCAGAGCAACCCGGAGGAACCCGGAGTAACCCAGAGCAACCCAGAGTAACCCAGAGCAACCCAGAGTAACCCAGAGCAACCCGGAGCAACCCAGAGCAACCCGGAGCAACCCAGAGCAACCCAGAGTAACCCGGAGCAACCCAGAGCAACCCGGAGCAACCCGGAGCAACCCAGAGCAACCCGGAGCAACCCGGAGCAACCCGGAGCAACCCGGAGCAACCCGGAGGAACCCGGAGTAACCCAGAGCAACCCAGAGTAACCCGGAGCAACCCAGAGCAACCCGGAGCAACCCGGAGTAACCCGGAGCAACCCGGAGCAACCCAGAGTAACCCAGAGCAACCCAGAGCAACCCGGAGCAACCCGGAGTAACCCGGAGCAACCCGGAGCAACCCAGAGTAACCCGGAGCAACCCAGAGCAACCCAGAGTAACCCGGAGCAACCCAGAGTAACCCAGAGCAACCCAGAGTAACCCAGAGTGCACGTTTGGTGCCCTCAACTTGCACGGCCCTTGGCGCCCTGGTTGGTTTTTATTATTTCAGTTCGTTGCCTCAACAGCACAAGGTACAAAAATCAAGAGGGGCGAACGACAAGAGAGAGCAGAGAAGGAAGATGCAACTGGAAGGAAAGAATCCTGGAAGAGTCCCGAATGTCACTGGACGTACACATGTACAAATACAATGATGTAGTTGGTTGACAGCATGTAAACAATGATGTAGTTGCAACTGGCACTCGGCGCCAGCTTTTCTGATTTCACTCCGGGTCGGATTTCACCATTTCTTTTTTTGCTCACCCATTGTATTGGTAAAAAAGCCCGACAGTTCGGTCCGGTTTTGTGTAGACTACCGTAGACTGAATGACGTCACCCACAAGGACTCCCACCCATTACCTCGGATTGATGATACACTCGATAGGCTGGGTGGGGCTCAGTTTTTCTCGACACTGGACTTACAGTCCGGCTATTGGCAAGTTCCGGTGGCGGGGAAAGACCAGGTGAAAACAACTTTCATCACGCCACAGGGTCTCTATGAGTTCAAACGTATGCCTTTTGGTCTATGTAATGCTCCGGCCACATTTCAAAGCATGATGCATGCTGTCCTGCGGGGTCTTTCTCCCCGGGATTGTTTAGTTTATTTGGACGACGTCATTGTTTTCTCGCACACATTTCGAGACCACTTGCTCAGGTTGGAGGCGGTGTTGACCGCGTTGCGACACGCCAAGTTGAAGATTAAACCAAGGAAATGCCATCTCTTATTAGGAGAGGTTCATTTCCTTGGCCATGTGGTTTCGGCAGAGGGGATCTCGACTGATCCAGAAAAGGTCCAGGCAGTACGTGAGTGGAAGGCGCCAACCAATCTAAAGTCCCTTCCGGCCTTTCTCGGATTTGCATCGTACTATCGCCGATTTATTCCCCGCTTTGCCGCGACTGCACACCCGCTGCATGATCTGCTCCGTAGGGACGTTTCGTTTGCGTGGTCAGCTGAACATCAGGCTGCGTTTCGGAAGTTGTGTGTAGCGTTTTGCGAGGCACCTATTTTGGCATTTCCGGACTTTTCTCTACCTTTTATTGTCGACACTGATGCCAGTGTTTTCGGCTTAGGTGCGGTGCTGTCGCAGGTCTCCGCCGACGGTCTAGAGCGACCCGTGGCATACATCAGTCGGTCCTGCTCGGCCGCTGAGAGAAATTATGCCAAAACTAAATTGGAATTCAATTGCTAGCGGTGGTTTGGGCATGTCGTACATTCAGACCGTACATTCTGTTGCGCCCGTTTTTGCTTCGGACAGACCACGGTAGTCTGCGTTGGCTGATGCACTTTAAAAATCCGGAGAGTCAGATTGCCCGTTGGCTCAGCACGTTAGGGGAGCTTCACTTTACCGTGGAACACCGGCCAGGAGCGCAGCATGGGAATGCAGATGGATTAAGTCGGCAGTTTGACACTGATCTGTCAGTTAATGTAGTGTCGTTTTCTACGCCTACCGCTTGTGACATTCGCCAGGCTCAATAGGATGATGCCGAGCTACGTGTTGTGATAGACCGGTTTGCTGCCACTCAGCCCGTTCAGGATGGCGATAGTTCTGTAGTTCGTGCTCTGCTGACTCAGTCCGAGACCCTGACCATGGTAGACGGTGTTTTGTACCGTGACGCGTTGCCATCGCTTGCCCGCCAGTTAGTGGTTCCGGTGGTTTTGCGCCCCCAATTTTTGGCCGAGGCGCACGCCGGTCAAACATCTGGCCATTTTGGTTCAGACCGCACATTGGCTCGGCTTCGTCAAGTCGCATTCTGGCCGGGTATGTCGGTCGATGTCTCGGTATTTGTAAATGTTGTACAGTGTGCGAGCGTGGCAAAGATCCGGCTGCAAAAGCCCCACTCGGCACTGTGCGTGTGGGTGCCCCGTTTGAGGTCATCGCCATGGATATCATGGGACCCCTACCTCTCACTGCTCGTGGTAATAAATATATCCTAGTGGTTGGGGACTATTTTTCTTAATGGGTCGAAATTCTTCCAGGACATGAGAGCTGAGACGGTAGCGGACCTTTTGGTCGAACGGGTATTTATGAAGTTTGGTGTCCCTAACCAGTTGCACTCGGGTCAGGGCCCAATTTTTGAGAGCCGTCTTATGTCATGCCTGTGTCAGTTGTTGGGGGTGTGTAAATCCCGCGCGACCCCGTACCGGCCTCAGTCCGATGGCTTGGTAGAGCGGGCCAATCACACTATTCAGGTGGCTCTTCAGGCGTACGTTGAGGGTGATCAAGCCTCGTGGGACAAACATCTTTCCCTGGTGCAATTTGCCTACAATACGGGGGTCCACCGCTCTACCGGGTTTACTCCCCATTTTGTCCTGTTTGAGAGGGAGGCCCGTCTACCCTTGGACTTGTTCTTACCTCCACCTAATACCCCCGTGGAAGCCCCTTTGCCTGTGTACGTGTCCAATCTTCGGTCGTCTTTGGGTCGGGCTTTTGGCGTTGTACATGACCACCTCGGTGTAGCCCACAGAGTGGCTAAGGCAGCAGACGATCGCCAAACTAAACTACCCACGGTAAAACCTGGGGACTATGTTTGGCTCCACGCTGTTCCGCCCCCTGGGTCCAACCCTAAGCTGTTCCGCCCCTGGCAGGTGGAAGTGGTGAAGGGAGTTGTGTGTGCTATTGTCCGGGTGGGTCCTCCTCCTTCACCCCGACATGCTAAGCACCTGACTGTGCATGTGGATAGGTTGCGGGTGGTGCAGAGTAAGGTGGTTGTTCCCCCAGGGGTTCCAGCTACCGGGACCGCCACGCCTGAAAGACCGGCGGTTGCCTCCATGGGTGGTGAAAGACCAGCGGTTGCCTCCATGGGTGGGCCCGCTCTGTTTCTGCCGGCCCCATTTGTGAGGTCGGTCCCAGGGTTGGTTCAGCCCCCGGGTTCCCTCCCCACACCTCCCCCATCTCCGGTGGTTGTGCCCCCTGCTGGTGCTCAGGGTTCCCCTCCCTTGGTGGGTAGTCCCCCGGGTACCCCTGCCCCGAGTCCTCCTGATTCTCCTCGCCTGGTAGTCCGTTGGTGACCCCGACGCAGAGCCCTCCGGTTTCTCCCACGCATCCTACTCCGCCCGGGACACCACGTCCTTGGCGGAGGTGTGCCCTGCCCCGGGTGGCTATGCTGCCCTTGAGGAGGGTCAGTTAGACCTCTCGTGGCGGGGTTGGTAATGTAAATATTTCATACCATGGATACTCCTAGTTGGTTTTTGTTTCGTCTTTCTCTCCTCTTTTTTCTTTTCTTTTTTTTGCTCAGTGCCGCCCTCGCCGACCCGGCGATGGTGTTGGACCTCCTCGAGGAGTGGAAAACGTTTTTCGATTGGCTTCCCGAAGACCTGCGTCCAGCTTCCATTCTGACCGCTCCCTCGCCGGTGATGTCTGCAGCGCCAGCGCCAGTGGTGCCTCGCCGCCGGGCTCGCCGAGCGGCGCAGCGGCGCGCCGCCCCCGCTGCTCCGTCGCCGGCTGGTAGCGTGCCGGACAGTGCGCCTTCCCCTCCCACTGTGGGGTCGGACTTGGTCTCCCTCGTTGAGGTCCATCGTGTTAACGAATTTGCATAATGTTTCCTCGTTCTGTATTTTTTTGTTCGTCGTTTCCCTTGAGTGAGTGGTGTCCTAGGTTGGTGCTGTTCTGGAAAAGATCCCTACAAGGATAGGGCATAAACAGGTGGAGCAGTTCGCCAGCTGGGGTCCTCTTTGAATCTGTTGCTTGCAGGTTCCTTCATTGTTGCACAGTTTCGCGGGGCTCCCGGCTGGTGTCAACCCTCCTGGCTTACTCGTCACTTGCCCAACGGTCTCGTCTGTGCCTCTTTTGTTTATATATTCGCCTATCTATGTTGTACATATTTCATTTCTTTCTTCTTCTTGTCTTCTTCTCCTGTCTGTCTTCTCGTTTTGTTTTTCTTCTCTCCCATCCTCAGGAGAGGATGCATTTTTTTTGTGGATGTATGTTGTCCCTGCCCTTTTGGAGGGTGTGTGCCCCTTTTAGCACGTGTGTGCTGGGTCCGCGTGGTCGTGCGGACCGCGCGTGGACTGCGCAGGTTGCGCATGCCTGCAGTAATACGCATTCTTGTTGTTGTTCTTTTGCCTTCTTTCTGAGGCTCTCTTCAGAGTAAAAGCAATAATCAGTCCTCCGAGTGCTGTGTACGTGGGATGTGTGAGAGAGAGAGAGTAATCGAAAGGGCTATCGTCGAGGCAGAAAAACCCCGACGACACACACTTGTACAAGTACTAGCAGATTGCAAGTGGTTGATCTTGTGTGCTTGTTACAACACAGTTGCTCATATGCAACCATGTTTCGCGTTTTAGAACCCAATCTCGTCGTCTAGGCAACGACCAATCACTGACATTCCTGCCAAGGGAAAAATAATAATACTAGTGATTCGCACGTCCGCGTTACCATTGGTTACACAATTGCATTCAGAAACCGTGACAACCAGCTTAGGAAGTTTCCCTTGTGCCAGGCCACCAGCATGCTTGATTGTACGGGGCACCATCAGAGTTTACTGATAGTGCTAGCCTTGCATAGACTCCGGTTCTACTGGTAGGACCATTTTACACAGATATCCTGCACAGCCTCCTAAAGTCCCGCGGCTAATGAAGGAGTCCACAGATTTTGGACGTAATCGTAAGAGGCATATTACGAAATACCATGGCAACCGCGGAAGGGGAGTATGGAATTATTTTGCACTCCACTGACAAAGGCAATTAATCAAGCTAGTCATGCAGGTATGTTACATTCTCTTTCTGGTTGGTGCAGCTCATCATCTGGCCAAGTTCTCTGTGTGATCTGGTGTGAACTGAGACATACTAACCGACAACATTGATTAAGAGGCTCCAAAATCGACGCATCATCATTGTAGGCATTTCCAAAGCTGCGAAAGAACACACAGGGACGGACAAGCACACACACAGGGACGGAAAAGCACACACACACGGACACACACACACACACACACACTGACATAGACACACGGACGGGCACAAACACACCCACACACGTGCGCACGGACAGACACACACACACACACACACGCACACACACACACAGCAATTGTGTGGACTTGGACTCTGTTGCGCAACGGGTCTAAAGTGAAAGACTTTTCATGCCGGGCTTATTTATGTTGTTCTTTAGTTTTATTTTGTAGTGTTTTTTTGTCTTGACTTTGTTGCATTGTTTTGGTGCATGTGCAGTCATCTGTACATGTATACACCATGGAACGCTTACGTCATCGTCACGCGTGCAACATTATTTTGCGTGCATGCTCATATAATTAGTGACTTTACTCCCTCGCACCCAGACGCTGATTTTTGGAAACAAGTTTCTATACTTCCGATGGGAGAATCCGACATGGCAGTGCATTTCGGCGTGGCCAGGTCAAATTGTAGAATATCGCATCGAGTGAATTGCTTTATCTGAGAGAGGAGATGTTCGTGCCCTTGAGACCCGAAGTCCCGTTTCCATACGACAAAATTTAGGAGCTCTGCGCTCAGCGCTTTTTCAGGGTATGAATTTCGGGTTGTTCTGGTCGGGTCGCAGCGTCGCGGACTATTCTATCGTCTTCAGCGTCGCAAAACTACTGGCCATGTGAAATTACAAGGCGGTGAGACGCTTTCGTCTTCCTCTACGAGAGAATTTGTTCTGCGCCAGCATACCAAAGTATGCAATTTCGAACGCGCAGTTCGAGTGACGAGGCGTGTGCACTGTACACTGTACTGCATGCACGGACTGTGCGGTCGTTCTCGATTCTCCCATCACTCCCATTCAGTTCTGTTTCCAGCAAAAGTCCAACTTGGCGCACTTCAAATCACTATAACTCAAGAATGGCTGGGCCGATTTGAATAATACTTGCAGATTTCCTATGTACTACGCCTGGGAGAATCGAATGAGACCAAAATGGAAGCGATCGGAGCAAGTTTTGGAAAATGGGTGTAGTCACTAATATAATGCTGCCGCGATGTTTGTCCTTTTCTTCAGTTATCAGTTTTGCCTCGTCGTGTCCGGTCTTCTTGTCTGTCCGTCTCCGTCTTGTCAAGAAATTATGTAGAACTTTTAGTTCAGTTGCGCTGTTGAGTGTGGCGAGCGGATGGGCGGGGAGGCTGGGCCCCTGACGCCTGGAGAAGATGTGCTGGTGCACAAAAGACTTAGTGTGTGGAGCTCACAGACTTGCCACTTTATAGAAATGCACCCTCGGACCCGGTTATAAAATTTGACCCTTGAGAGATTTCCTACCATTGCTGGCGCTTTCGGTCTGCGTATCGCTATGATCAAGAATAAATAAGCTTTTGCTATGATGTGATTGCTTTTTATTTTAACTCGCTGACCAAAACGGACAAAAACATCCAATAAAAATGGGGCGAATAAGGAGAGGCACAGTGCCACGATTTTTTTGTTTTTAGAGAGAGAGAGAGAGAGAGAGAGAGAGAAAGAGAGAGAGAGAGAGAGAGAGAGAGAGAGAGAGAGAGAGAGAGAGAGAGAGAGAGAGAGAGAGAGAGAGAGAGAGAGATGAAAGAGAGAGAAAAGCTAGCGCTAAGATGTAATGCTGATCGGTGTGCATAATCTTCCGCAGCCTACTCAAGCTCAACTGATGAGGGGTGAATACCCCGAAACACGGTGTATGGAGCAGGAAGCGGTGCTTTCTTGCAGGTTTGCCGAGTGGAAGGTGCGACATGCAACCTGTCTACTCCGGACAGTAGTCGTGAGTCAGTCAAGTGTCAGTCAGTCGGCAGAAAGCGTGTGTTCCAAGTAGGAACCACCAACTTCATCACTAAGGGCCGGGTTCCACTGCGGCTCCGCTGCTTTGTCTTTCGCGGCTTGAAACGTCATCATTACCGTTCACCGCGAGCTGGAGCAGCGAGGCCGCGGCTCACCGCGAGCTTTCGCTACGATTCTTGACCAAAAACTGCGAGCCGCGGTTACGGCTCGACCGATTTCCCGTACTTTGCATTGTTTTGTACGCCAGAATTTTAAAATTCAAATTTTCATTCGTTGCGCAGGCCAGAACACGATGATTTTTTTTGATTTCGCGCGCACGCAAGCAGGTGAAACGTCATCAAAAAGTGTGGACCACGACCGCGGTACCGCGAATGGCGAGTGTCAGTGGAACCGCGCTGCTCCGCTGCATGCAGCCAAGTGCCGCGGAGCAGCGGAGCCGCGGAGCCGCAGGGGAACCCGGCCCTAATACCGCCGAAGTCGCTACTTCTAAGATCGTATTCCAAGCTATTCTACGGCATTCCAAACTATTCCAAACTGTTCCAAGCTATTCTACGGCATTCCAAGCTATTCCAAACTGTTCCAAGCTATGCTACGGCATTCCAAGCTATTCTACGGCATTCCAAGCTATTCTATGGCATTCCAAGCTATTCCAAACTGTTCCAAGCTATTCTACGGCATTCCAAGCTATTCCAAACTGTTCCAAGCTATTCCAAACTGTTCCAAGCTATTCCAAACTGTTCCAAGCTATTCCAAACTGTTCCAAGCTATTCCAAACTGTTCCAAGCTATTCCAAACTGTTCCAAGCTATTCCAAACTGTTCCAAGCTATTCCAAACTGTTCCAAGCTGTTCCAAACTGTTCCAAGCTGTTCCAAACTGTTCCAAGCTGTTCCAAACTGTTCCAAGCTGTTCCAAACTGTTCCAAGCTATTCCAAACTGTTCCAAGCTATTCCAAACTGTTCCAAGCTACTCCAAACTGTTCCAAGCTATTCCAAACTGTTCCAACCTACACATACTTGCCAACCCTACCGGAATATCCGGCAAAATCCAGGAAACTCGCTTTCGTCCCGGCATATCGGAAAAGTTATAACATCTACGGATTTTCGAAAAATGTCCCTCAGCACCTTTTTTTGTTGATTTTCAGTTTTTCAATGCTTGCGACTCGTAGTCTGCGAGCATAGCAGCTAGAACTTAGCACAAGTGCTGTGCCCACAACGAAGCTCTACAGTTAGCGACCAAGAACTCTTGAGTTTGCGCTTGAACAAGGACGTTTTTTGTCGTACATGCTGTACTATTTGCGAATGTTTGTGCAGATCAAGGAACAATGGCCAAAATCAAGGAAAAACCTCATCGGTGTCAAGGAAACTGTTTGCCAGCGGTTGGGAAGTATGCCTGCAGTGCATACTCCAGTGCCCTTTACAGTGCGTTTTTTATAATAGACTCTGAAAACCTTGAAAACGTACTCAAGGCCACTTTTGAGAAAATGTCATGCGAGTTGCGTCACGAAAATCTGCGCGCGAAATTCGAAAAACCAGGTGTGACTCGTGGCATTTCGCCATTTTGTTCAGAGTGTCCTTCGCGCTCCTTGCCTCGTGGCTGGAGGAATCATTTTGTTGTTGACTGCTCTGTGGCCCTATTTTGCTTTTTCTCGAGTGTCTTTTCGTTCGTGGCAACTTGTTCTCTCGACATGCCACATATAACAAAATGCGAACGGGCCATGGTACATGGTGGTGTCTGTTTTACAATTTTTGGCGAAGACGAGGAGAACAATGGCTGGGCATCGAATTGGTCCCAAGTATTCCATTCGTCATGCTGCTGTTGCGTGTGGCGTCAGCATTTTCACCATGAACAGCTGTACCAGGGATGCTGACGGCGAAAATCAGCGTGCTGCGTTGGCCTTGTCTGTCTCCAGTTATGAAGCAGTGTCTGCTCCAGCGCCGGGTGAGCCGGGTAATCCACCCGGTTGGGCGGCGCTTGGACCCGGTTGAAAATATAGTACCGGGTCACCTGTGACCCGGTTGGTACTTTACACTTTTTACTTTGAAAGGACTGACTACATGGCTTGTATGTGTCAGATACTTCTTCTTCTTTCGTAATTTTCTAATTCCTGTCCTCTCTTTTCTAAATGCGGCTTATCCATTCGCCTTTATATTATTGGGCCTAGTTCCCGTTTATTGTCCGAATTAAAATAAACCAACCAACCATGTTAAAGCATGTGACTCGGCTGGTGAGACAGCGCCAGGTACATGGGTACCCGGCTCCGACCCAGTTGAAATGGTTGCGCCAGGTACACGTGTACCCGGCTGTCCTACAATCCTAGAGCAGACACTGTGAAGGTAACGAGAGTGACAATCCCCAATGTGAGACTCGTGCCATGAAACCACTCAACCCTGACGGATTTGCTTTGGACTGTATAAGAAGTAATTTACGGATTCTATGCTGCGAAGGAGCACCCAACACTGGACAAAGTTCCTGCTCACTGCATAGAAAGCATCGACGATTTTCGAGACATGAGCAAAACTAGCTCTTGGAAAATGCTGCGTTCCATGGGATTCCAGTGTGGCAAGACCAGAGGTATCACACACATAATGATGGAATGGCACGGGATTGTGTCATGGCGGCATCGCAACCTGTGAGACATACCTGGATGAGACGTGGGTCAATGCGCGTCACACAGTTACTAGGAGGTGGTACGACAATGGTGACAGGAGTGTATAGGCAAGCAATCAAATGAAGCACCATCAGGTAAAGGCAAGCGCGTTATTGTTCTGCACACTGGTGGACGGGACGGATTCGTGAAAAACTGCGCCGATGTGTTCGTGACTGGAGACACACGAAGCTGACGGCAACGATGATATACGTCGTCGGCTGTCCTAGCACATCTGTTCACTGTGTAATACTGTCGTCACAAGTGCAACACAAAACACGGAATTATTGGGGCCGTTTCGACGCTCGCTGGTCTTCTACTATTCGCAGATGTTGAACCAGACACAACCGTGACCTATTTGCATTGTGTGTGTGTGTGTGTGTGTGTGTGTGCGTGTGTGTGTGTGCGAGCGAAACAGCCGGACGCACGTCAATGCCATGCCTGCCTTCGGTGGTTCCGAAGTGCCGGTGGACTTGCTGTGCACAAGTGCACGACACCCGCCCCGGCATCGCCGCCCACACCCCAGCGCATACCAATCATCAGCCATCCGTGTTGCAACCAGCATTGCGCTACCTGTGAGCGCTGTTTTAAATCTGCTCCTGGCTTTCGGCGACACAATTGCAATCGTGGACGGCGTCGTGGCGGAGCGGCTTCCTAGTGGCAGTGCTGACTTCTCTCGAACTCTCTCTCTTCTACTCTCCCCTGTTGGGTCTGTTGCCAACGGTCTCGGCTACTTGAAGGTGTAATGTAGTACCTGCCACCTTTGTTGGTTCCAGGGTTCATATACTTTCTATTTGAAGTATACATACCTGTTAACCATGGACTGCTTCTGGCTAGATTAACTCTTGTGTAATCAATGGTGCTAGTGAAGCTAATATCAGATCCACTCTGATTTAGTCACCCACACTAGTAGCACGTATTACCTTCACTGGGGGCAGGGGTAACTGCAGTTGGATCCCAGGACGGATACCCTGATGCCGTCAATCCTTTTTCTGCACCTTGTCCTCACCCACTTACTGAGGTGTGGTGAGCCCATAAGTGGGATCATTTTCAAGTCCACCCAGAGTTTTGGGGATTTCAGGGGGTGTCGGCCGTTGGGCGGTTCAATAGCCAATTGAGTCATCTTTCCAAGATTCCTTTTGAGTCTCTCTCCCCTCTCCCGGGGAGACCCACGTGACCAGTTTTGGCAGTGTGCAACAAGTACAAGTACAAGTACAAGTGTGTGTGTGTGTGTGTGTGTGTGTGTGTGTGTGTGTGTGTGTGTGTGTGTGTGTGTGTGTGTGTGTGTGTGTGTGTGTGTGTGTGTTTGTAAAACCGCTCATGTATTGCTTCCTTTTTGTTAGTCTCTTTATGGGAGCTGTGTGAATTGCCCTTGTGATTTGTTGTGGTGTTTGAATTTTCACTGCATTCTTTCACGGATCGAGGGAAGTTTCCTACATGCATGCTGGAATGTTTTGATTTATTGAGCTAATTGCAATACAGCATTTGAATTATTCAGTACAGTTTGCCACAGTAAGTCGTGAAAAGCCACGACTCACTGGTTTCCTACAAAGGTTAGGAGAACTGCAGACAGCAGTGCACAACTGCGCAGTCATGTACGTCGTGTACATGTACATGCATGCGCTGTACTACAGTATACCGAAAAAGAAGAGAGAAAAAAAGAATCAAGATGAACTGTACTGGATTCGAACTCTGCCGGGCACCATGCACGTGATGAGCTTTCCTGGCTAAAACTTCCGTTAAAAAAATCAAAATCCACTGAAAACCATTTAAAACCGGATTTTCAGCCAAAACCTGGCCGAATATCTAACTTTGACAATTATTATTATTCCGACTCCAAAACTTAATTTTCTTCGATCCAAGACCCACACAAACGCAGCTGTGAAGAAATTCAAATTTGGAATGAGAACAAACTAAAAAATCCAAATCGACAAATGTCTGTTTTATAAAAACGCACTGTAGGTGTAATCTAAATTTAGGTGCCTGGTTTCTCTACCGAAATAACCGAAATTTAATTCCCGTAGCTATGCAGAAGACGTTACTTCAGTAACGTCTGGTGCTAGCCAGGGTCCACACAGCTTTAATTTGGTGTTTGTTTGTTTGTTTGTTTATTTGTTTGTGTCACGCCTGGAGCTATCCCGTATCTGTCCCGTATCTGTGACTACAAAGGCTCTACAGGATTGTACATAACAGCTGGCCACAATATTGGCTGGCTCCCGTATCTGTCCGGTACCGTACCATCAAACACAGCTAGCCACAAACAGCTGGCCACAATATATGGTATAATGGTATATGGTATATGGTTCAGTTCCAAGAGGAATCTGGAGCTTGCTGAACCAATCGATAGTCGATAAGCACTGGCCAACGAGGGACCACTCTTTGCAGGCTCCGAGGGATGTATTGAATGAAGAAAAGTTGAACTGACTTGGTTCGTGTTTCTCGCTGACCTTGTAATTGGAGTCTGGCGAGGCCAATGTCGTGGTCGGAAGTACCCAGCGGTGCGGCAGTTGAGAGGTTAGAAAGAAGTAGTGGGTGGTTGGTTAAAACCAGGTCTAACGCACTGGCATGACCACTGTGTTGGGAGTAATGTGTGGGAAAGGTAACGAGCTGTGATAGGGTGAGCATTTGAAGGAGACAAATCAGTTGATGACCAACTGCATCTGTGGTCGATCCATACCACTCCGAGCGTTGAAGTCCCCAGAGACGAGAAGCATGGAGTCGGGCATAGATAAGCGTTGCAAGATGGATTGAAATTGAGTAAAGAAATTATCGGTTTGGCGGTGTGTCAATGATGGCGGCCTATACACCGATCCTAAATAGCGCAAGATCATAACGTGAAGCAACTTGGAAGAATGAGTATGGATGCGAAGTGTATCGGGGAATGAATTTTGAGCAATTGTGCGGGTTCGAATCCCAGGTTATGCCCTGAAAAAAATAGAAGAATTGAAAAACTTATAACATCCCTATGCTTTTTTTGTCCAGGTCATCAAGGCAAAAAAAGCATAGCGTAGGGCCCTGAGCTTCCAAGCTCTCTCGTTAAGTTCCACCGAAAATATTATTCCAAGCTTACCTCTTGCCATTGTCCATCATAAGCAGTCTTGCTGAGTCACCGTATTTCTGCACCGTCTCATAGTGATGGCGATCGGCGTTGCCTGGCACACAGCAAAAACAAGAAACAACAAGAAACACAAAACAAAAACAAAGCATCTTTCCCTCGGACCAGTAGATAAAAATAATAAAAAAAGCAACGGAGAACAGAAGGAAATAGTTCAGGTATTAGTACCATAGTACAGTACACACCTGTAATGGCGACCACTCGACCATGGCGACCACTCGACCATGGCGACCACTCGACCATGGCGACCACTCGACCATGGCGACCACTCGACCATGGCGACCACTCGACCATGGCGACCACTCGACCATGGCGACCACTCGACCATGGCGACCACTCGACCATGGCGACCACTCGACCATGGCGACCACTCGACCATGGCGACCACTCGACCATGGCGACCACTCGACCATGGCGACCACTCGACCATGGCGACCACTCGACCATGGCGACCACTCGACCATGGCGACCACTCGACCATGGCGACCACTCGACCATGGCGACCACTCGACCATGGCGACCACTCGACCATGGCGACCACTCGACCATGGCGACCACTCGACCATGGCGACCACTCGACCATGGCGACCACTCGACCATGGCGACCACTCGACCATGGCGACCACTCGACCATGGCGACCACTCGACCATGGCGACCACTCGACCATGGCGACCACTCGACCATGGCGACCACTCGACCATGGCGACCACTCGACCATGGCGACCACTCGACCATGGCGACCACTCGACCATGGCGACCACTCGACCATGGCGACCACTCGACCATGGCGACCACTCGACCATGGCGACCAATCGACCATGGTGACCACTCGACCATGGCGACCACTCGGATATGGCGACCACTCGACCATGGCGACCACTCGGATATGGCGACCACTCGACCATGGCAACCACTTTTCCTTGTCACGGACGCATTCACATTCAAAACACCTCGGATAAGGCGACCACTCGCTCAACGCGACCGACGACCACCCACCCGCGACCGCGTTGCACAGTGCTAGTCATGTAAATGTTCGCATTCCACGGTGCACCAGGCATGGTAGATCTACACATCAGTGCAGGAAGTGTAGATGTACATGGTGCATGCACGACATTTGACAGGTCTGAGGACCCCAGGCATATGAGTCGTGCTAGAGCAGCATAGGTGTGTGCACTGGGATGCACTGATCAAAATGATGTATCACATGTGGATATGGTCACGTGACCCACTGAACCTGGATAAGAAGACCACCTGACCACGGCGACCACTTTTTCTCGTCCCTTGAGGGGTCGCCTTAGACAGGTTTCCCTGTATTATCACTCTCTTAGTATTGACTAGCATTGATTTCCGCTATACCTAAGCAGCCAAATAGTTCTGCATATTTCACTCCCTAGGGCTATATTGCCTGCTTATATTTGACTGCTTATGGGTTGCGCAGTTGAACGGTGCCACAGACGTTTGCTGTGGCATGGGTGTTTGCTGTGACATGGGTGTTTGCTGTGACATGGGTGTTTGTAGTGGACTTAAAAAGGTACACCTATTGGCTATTGGCTACCCTCTACTCGACAGAGCAAAGCTTTCTAACAGAATAATACATACCCAACAGAGAGCAGAGCTTTCTCATAGAGTGATAGATACCCAACAGAGAGCAGAGCTTTCTCACAGAATGATACATACCCAACAGAGAGCAGAGTTTTCTCATAGAGTGATAGATATCCGACAGAGAGCAGAGTTTTCTCATAGAGTGATAGATACCCGACAGAGAGCAGAGCTTTCCCATAGGGTGAGAGATACCCGACAGAGAGCAGAGCTTTCTCATAGGGTGAGAGATACCCGACGGAGAGCAGAGTTTTCTCATAGAGTGAGAGATACCCGACAGAGAGCAGAGCTTTCTCATAGAGTGATAGATACCCGACAGAGAGCAGATCACAGAGTACCCAATACCTGACCGGGGGGGGGGGGCAGAGCTTTGTCCTGCAAGGGAATATGGAGAAGAGTTTTTTGGTTTCCTGGCTGCTGCATATCTTACCAACTAAATAGTCCATTACGGTGGCATCAAGGAGGTCCAGAAGCCGTGGGCCTTTCTTGAACAAATCTTTGCTCAGCACCGCCTTGTCGCAGTAGGACTTATCCGTCTCCCACCTTCCAAACAGAGATCACAGGTGAGAAAGAACAAAAAGAAATGCATCTGGCCTGGTAAACCGCGCGCCCTGGGTCAGCAAGACCAGCAATGACCGCGTGCCCTGGGTCAGCAAGACCAGCAATGACCGCGTGCCCTGGGTCAACAAGACCAGCAATGATCGCGTGCCCTGGATCAGCAATGACCGCGTGCCCTGGGTCAGCAAGACCAGCAATGACCGCGTGCCCTGGGTCAGCAAGACCAGCAATGACCGAGTGCCCTGGGTCAGCAAGACCAGCAATGACCGCGTGCCCTGGGTCAGCAAGACCAGCAATGACCGTGTGCCCTGGGTCAGCAAGACCAGCAATGACCGCGTGCCCTGGGTCAGCAAGACCAGCAATGACCGTGTGCCCTGGGTCAGCAAGACCAGCAA